TCAGGCAGCACAGCGGGATTCTGGGAAAGGTGAGCCGATGACATGGCAATGAGGGTTGGAGGGGCGGAGTGTTGGCCCTGGGTATTGGGTGGGGGGCCACTCATGTCATGTTTCAACTGAGATGTTCTGAAAATTGCCCAGGTTCAGGCTCACACGCAAGTGCTATATCTCTGGGGTACCTGGAAGAAATAATCTCACTGCAGTTACAATTTCAAGCAATTCAGATTCCAAGATGGCTCAGATTCCCCTCGTGGATTTTCTTCTTACTTTATCTCTACTTTGCCCTCTGACTCATTTCCTTTCCCCCCTCTGCTAAAATGTAACTCCTGTGTTTCTTCTGGATAAGAAATGTGGGATCACATTTTAAAAGGACACAAATTTAAGCTATGTCATAAGCCAACAACAGTAATAACATACAAGTTACATGTAAGTACAGGACGGCGCTGTCAGACCCCAGACTATTGTCCATCTGCACGGTCACTCAGAAAATGCCCACGTTCTGATAGACGTGTTTGATCCCATCTTCCATGGAGCTGAGATTGACGTAAGACACTGCAATGCCATCACCAAAGTCCACTTGACTTCCGCTGGACATCACCCTGCAAAAGAGCCCAGAGTCAGTCAGCAGGAAGGGAGCCAGAGCTTGGCTGCACTTTCTAGGGGCCTGGGGCTTGTTTTGGTCTTGACTCCTCCAACAGCTGGGAACATCTGTCTGTTTTGATAGAATCCCTCTGACACTCCCTGGCAGACAGGAATTTGCTAAGATGGATACTCTCCAAATGTGAAGGGCACCAACTACCAGAAATTTCAAGGCTTTGGACATTAACAGTGTTTAATTATCAGGTTCAATTTGATATTCAATTACTCAAGAAGGCTTTGTTAACAGTCTTATAATCCACATCAATAAAATTGCACCCAGGTGGCTTCAAAAATTCAGCCTACCTGTTGTGGTCACCAGGTACCTTCTGCGTCTCCTGAGTCATCCACTTTGTTTCTGGTTCCGTAACCATGTTGGAGGAAGGGTAGAGGACACCTAGCCTGACATCAGATAGGACACTGCATTCTCTGAAAATTCAGTATTTTGTATTAGAAAATGGTCTCATTTTAGTCTTCACAGAATCTGAGTCTGAATAAAAGAACAGGGACAGTTCAAATGCCTTGACAGATGAAGATTCTGAAGTCTACAAAGGTTTCATCATTCACTCAGGTTAACACAGCTAGTAACTGGTGGACCAGGATTATGACCTGGTCCTCTGGATTTTGGTTCATCCATTTCAACATACCACTGTGAGTAAAGCATTGAAGCCCCTGAGGCTTGAATTCCACTGTGTTATTAACAAGCTAGATGACTTCATACATGGGGTCTATCATTCAGCCTGCTTTGGTCTCAGTTACCAAATCTTATGAAATGGACACAATACTACCATACCATCTTAACTCAAAAGATTCTTAAAAATATGTAGATATTTAGTAATCCATAAAATGTTACACAAAAATAAATGACTATAAAAACAACACAGCTGTAAAAGACCTATAATACTTCTGTAAAGCTGGAGTGGGATTATATGAATCTAAATTTCCCATGAGCAGACAGAAGATAAAGTCTCTATTCCAAAACCTCAGACCTCTTTAGTTTCTCAAGAAGCAAAATTACTTAGACCAAATTGGCAAAACAACAAAAACTAAAATCTTCTTTCACACAGTCCATCTTTATCAAACTATGTTTCATTCTTTTTGATAGTCTTTCCCATTTTCAGATAAAAAGAAAAAGAAAAAAATACCTTTAAATTAGAAATGTCTTTTTGATTAAGTAAGGTTTATATGGTATCATATTTTTTGAAAAGGCCAAATTTAAAAGCTGATGGTTAAAGGATTATTTCACAGCCAAAGGAAAAGCAGTTTAAATCCTATGAATCTGTGTGACCTACTCCTCTGATCTATGCCTAGTTGAGCACTGTCAAGAGGCACACAGCAGCTAACGCTCATTGAGAACCTAGTACAACTCTCAGGAAACACACAGGCCAAAGTCCTCCCCTGGGGTGGAAAAAGAAACCCGACTCAAAACTATAAAGCAAACATCCACAAGCTCAGGCATTGTGGAATTACTTGAATTCCCTTCATTAATAAATATAAATGTCAACTCTTCTTGCTAACTTGTCCTTCACTTGGGCAACCAGAGTGGACTGATGAATCCATCTTTCTGTTTCTGGTGAGTTTCCATTTCCAGGTCTTCTGGGTTTTTGACAGAGTGATTGGGAAGCCAACCCTACGTGTGTGCCGGGGGTGGGGGGGGAAGGACCACTTTTTTGAAACCAGGTTCTGGGGTAAATATCAGAGTAGACGGGGTTCTCCAGGGCATGTGACAAGCAGTGGAGTGGGAGAGGGAGAGAGATAAGCTTTGTGGGGACAAAGAAGGCATCAGAGAGAGGCTATCGCTTACAAGAGGACGGAGGGGAGGTTCCCACCTATAGCCAACTCTGCTTCATTCTCCCCTGATAGAGAGACAAAGGGATAGTGAAGGAGAGAGAAGCCACCCACAGAACCGGAAAGAGTAAAATGTCAGCCAACATCATTTCAGTCTACATTGCTATGAATTTCCTGTTTGGTATTCATTGTTTTCCTTTAGCTGGCCTTGACTTAGACATATTGTTAGTTACATAAAACCCCTCCACGTTCTATCTGTCTGGATTTCATGTGGTCCTTTGGCTTGATAACATTCTGACATCTCGATTTATGATAAAGTTCTCTGTACATACAGTTGGTGAAAGAAGGGAGTTACTCAATGTTTACATGAATGCAGCAATCAGCATCTCTAATGGAAAATGTTTTAAATATGCCATCCAAGACCACAGCAGAATCAGGTTTTTAGAAGATCCATTTACCTATCTAGATGTATGTACATGTATCTAGATAGACATATATCTAACCTTAATATACATATATATCACCTAAACACACATACATTTTGCAAGGAAGTAAATATTAACCAAATTCACAATACAAACATGGCCTGGGATTTCACGAGCTTCCACACATCATTAGTGAGATAAATGCATTTTAAATAATCACACTAGTAACAAAAAGGCATGGAGGAGTGTCCCGGGGCATGGTGAGCTCATACAGTAAGGAGAGCTGGGAGGCTCATGGACCGGGAACCTCAAGGAAGTCTTCCCAGAGAAAATGATAACTGAGCTGAGAAAACCTGAAGGAAGAAAATAAATTAACCAAATGAAAAACTGAGTGAGAGAGTGGGAGGTGAGGGAGGTGGTGAGAAAGAGAGAAACCGATGTGGAAGGCTCTGTGGCAAGGGGCGATGGTACAGTGGAAACAGGTGAAGGAGACTAAAGAAAGAGATGACAAGAATGTCTTGTAAAATGAGGCTGGAGAGGAGACAGAGGCCTTTGGGATTTGAGGGTCCAGTTTCTGAATTTGACCTTTCTTCTAAGAGCAATGGACAGCCATGAAAGTGTGCCAAGCAGGAGTTTGGGGTAAGATGCATGGTGATATATGATCTTGCCAGCTACCATGTGGAGGATGGAACGAAACGGGTCCATGTATGCTGGGAAGCTAATAAGCAGGTAATTTGGGGTAGATGATGGCAGACTGAAAAGAAAAGCTGCCTCATGAAGTTACATGCATCTCTGAAAACTAACTCAAATAGTTTATTGGTGTCGTAATCAGTTATTCCGAGCATTTAACAGCAGCATCTCTTATAGATTTTTTTTTGAATGCTGATGCCCAACTACTCCCAAGAACCATGTTTCATGGTTTCTGGGGAGGATGCTCAGTCTAGTTGCAGATCTAGAAGGTCCCCCATTGGCATGGGGCTGTACTCAGGGTTGAGGCCCTCTGGTTCAGACTGTTGAATGGCAGGCCTTCTTGTGATTGGATTCATCCAAAGATGAATATGGTATAGCACAAAATGATGCTATTCTTATTAGATTTTAACGTGATGATAAAGTTTCTTCAGGATGCTCTAGGATTTGAAGTGCTAAAGGTGCATTAATAAAGCCAGGAATGGAAGGGCTAAACTCCCTGTTGGTGGAATACAGCACAATCACTCACAGAAGTTCCGGGATATGTGCAGTCAAGATCAGCTGCCTTCTCTAGGAAAATGAGTCGCTGGCTGATACCACACTCATTTGCAAAATCCTAAGGGCTGGAATGTATTCTGCTAGTGTCTGGATTCTGATAATCATTTTTTAATGCAGTTTGATTATTGTGCCTTTATAATGTGTTTGTTTATCAAAATGGCATTTTTTAATATATTATCTCATTTAGCTGTTAAGATACCCGGGAGATTGAAAGGACAGATGGAATTTCTCTTTGATACAGTAGGAAACTGGGATGGAGACATGTTAAATAAGATTCCTAGAGTCACACAGCTATTAAGAGCATTCTGGAGGGGTTTTAGACTTTCCATTTAGCACAGTTCTCACTGAGTTTCTTCAGGTGAGAGTTCCTAATAATACCTTTCAGGGTGAGAGCAAGGTGATAACAAAGATGAGGCTTCACTTTTCTTCTCTTGTTTGACTCTGTTTACTGCTTTGACTGTTTTCCCCTCGGTCAACATTTTGACTTAGACACTTCTAACTAAAGAAGGGTTGGCATGAATTCCATACTCTTCCCTTCTCTCTGGCCCCAGTGAAGCAGTATCATGCTCAATCCATAGAGAAGATAGGGAATATAAGACTCAGTTTCTATAATCCATGGTTGGGGAAGCTTTATGTATAATTGAGAGTTACTTGAATTTAATGAATGAAAGCCATTGTTTCTGCACCTGAACCCAGGCCAGCAAACCCCTGGACTATCACAGAAAGTTCTTTACATCCACAGCCCTTTAGTCACCTGCCGTAAAATAGATGCAGAACTGAGAAGACTGGCTCAAATAAGTGCCAGGCAAAAGCAGAAAAGCCACAAGAAATCCAGATGGGGATTCTCCAAGGGCATCACTGACTTCTGTAATAGAAAAACAAATGTCTCAATCAGCTACAATAAAGCCCAGATTAACAGAAGCAGTGAAAGGTGTGTGAACCTATCAGATTCTGTGACATAGACTCAGAGAAGAACGGGAAAATAAATGCCACAGTAACTCCACACGGAGGACTCAGTCCAGAAGCAAGACTCAGAGTCACAAGGAAGTGTCAGAGACTCGCTGCATGAAACCAAGCTCATTGTCAGAGCATGACAGTGGGCCTAACTCAGGCTTCGGTAACATTTTGTCTCTGAAGGAGCTTAAAGATCATTCAACAAAAACTGCATTGTAGAGACCGAGTTAGTACATCCCATTTCATTAAAAATAAACAAAAAATGTCACAGTGTATATACCATAAGTCTAAGTGGGTGGGTATAAGAACAGAGCAGGGTGTTAACAAATGTAACCATGCTGATTACTCTGGCTTGGGTGGCATAAAGTGAGGGGCTGGAAGACAACAGGAGCTCTGAAAGACAGGGGAGAAATGTGGGGAAATGGTGATCCCATTAGATTTAAAAGGGGGATAGAAGCATTGCAAATCACAATATTATCTCCACTATTACTGTAAGTATTGAAATATTGATTAAATATATGGGACCTAAGCAGAATGTGACACCGATATTA